GAAACTTTTTAAAAATCTGTACCGACAAGCGTTCAATTGTTAAAATATTATTTATAAGAATAACAATATACCTCCAGCTCAAAAAGTACGCGGATTTTGTAAATAAAACACACAAATTTAAATTTTATTCCAAATTCATTTTATCTCCTTCAAAATATGCTCCTTCTGAAGCGATACACATATGCCAACGCTTAACCCAATCTTTCATACACTTTTCGTAGGTCCGTGCAGGTATGGCTTTTAGTTTTCCATAGTAAAGATCGTACTTGAGGTAGTCTCACATTAACAGCTGCTGTAAACAAACTAATCGACAGATGGCGCTTAAGGAGTAGTTAACAAACAACAAAATTCGGATACAGAAGAATATGCCTTTTAATTGACTGGTACTGATTTTGTAGTATATGATTTAATCTGATTTCTATCTCGTTATTATCTACTATTGCATATGTTGGATTTAAAAGAATTTTGTTTAATCAATGTTGACAAATAAATATATATATTAAATATTTTATTCAGTTTAATCTTTGTTGGGTTATTACAATTATTTATTACTGCGCTTTTTTTAAAATTAGAGCTAAAACGATTGTTAATAAAAGACAACAGTGAAATATTCTTTTAAAGAAATGCAATTTACTTAGTTTTCATGCAATAAACCCATTATGAAAAAGGAAAATTAGTAAGAATTTAAAAATGAAAAACTATAAGTCAGAAATATGTTAGCGTTATATTATAGATAAAGGTTGTTCTATTACATCCATATGCAGTTCTTTTAGTATCAGTTTATTCTCGTTACTATTCTCGTGCTATAGTTATAAATGTCACCAAAGTCATACATAAGTTGAAGAAGATTCACAATAAACGGTCATGTAAAAAAATTGAACAAATAAAGTCACAATAGAAAAATTTAAATAAAATAGTATAAAAGTAGTCATAGTTTAGTATTAGTCGTAAGTTGGTTGAGTAAAATACCCTGTATCTTTAGAACAATTTTTACTTTATCAATATGAAAACTTTGAATAAGTTTGTTTTCATTCATTTTCATGCAATCAGAACTGCATATAATATATATTATAATAAATAACAGCACATATAATATCCTGTGTAGTCTTCTAGCTCTTGCGGAAACATTGTATGAAAGCACGATACAGACTTTTAAACTTATCCTACATTGCACTGCTTTTTATCTACAATGCGCCATTTGCAAGCTATAATATATAAACTGACTACATATGCGGAATAAGAAAAATTATATAAAGCCAAATATAAAAGCAGTGTACTGAGGTTGACAAGCAACCATCCAAAGAACACGAAAAAAACAATCTTTTGAATTTGTTGCTATCTATGGAAAAAGCGTGTACACAATGTACTCATATTTATCTTCCTTCCATATTTCGCTCATAACAGTCCGGGGTACTAAAAAATATATCTTCATTTTTAAGTCCTTTACATAAAAAACTAACAAAGACTGGATTAAATAGCACGAATCCTACCATTCAATCTGTTATGCCAAGCAAGGAAACAGAAACCTTTTTTAAAGAGCAAATATGACAAAAATACAGACAGTAAAATGTTAAAGCAGTAAAATATAAGCGCAGTTTCATGCATTTAATCTGTGGTAAAAATTTTTACTGGGAAAATAAGTTGAAATTCTGCATTGCTTTGCTCGTGAACATTTTTCATAAAAAGCACTAAAGGCGCAAATTAAAATGTTGCTCGAGCGAATAAAATGCGTTCCTTGTGAAAACTTTTCCTGTTTTATGATTTTTTTATATGTGCTGGGTTGTGTATTGTACCCATATTGTACCCAGGTTTGTTGGAACCAACAACGCTTTCATGCAACTTAACCAGAAGGATACTTGAAATGCATGCAACCAGGCAGCAAAATCTGAAAAACTGTAATTATTTTAAAATACTTCATACTCATACGCTGGAACAAGGCGCTCGTACTTTATTAAATGCCACAGCTACAATGAGGAATATAGAAAACAAAACAATTTACAAGGAAAAAAACAATTAATTTCAGAAAAACGTTAAATTCAGACAAAATAAGAGCCAACTTGGCGTATGAGTAACACATAAATTCGAACTTGCTGCTTGCCTTACCTTATCTTACCTTGCTTTACGTTGCTTTGCTACTTTACTCTATGGCTTTAATTGCAATTTTGTAGCTACAAGTGCACTTGAAGCACGTGAACATTTTCTATGCGGGGTTGAACCTAACCGTCCCTACAACAGTTACTTGGCAGCACTGGTACTTTATCACGCGTGAAAATAAAAAGAATTAGTGCGAGAAATAGTAAATAATATTAAAGAAGGAGATTTGTCACTTGAGTGCGCACTTAAAGGAAATTTATGGCATGACATGACAACTTGTAGGAATTTTACTTTTTATTACTCTTCTACACTAAAGGTGACAATAGTGAGATATACCCAGGAATGTTGGTTTGTTGATATAATTTCTTCACTTATAGATAATACATACCTAAACTACTTCATTGCTCTTGTAATGATTTATTTTGTAATACGTTCCTAAGCTGCTGTTGCTATGGCATCGCAAATAGTACGAAGCTTCGATCGATTGACGAGAGCTTTGAGAATTTAGAAAGATTCATTAAAGCAAAAAACTTAAGAATAGTATCAGATATTTACGTCAGATATTGTTTATACGTATTTTGCATTTGTTATGTAATATGTAGGTGAGCGAAATGAACTAACAATACATTGGCAGTATACCTTGGACAAAACTGAACTTCATATAACTAACAGTGATTGTTACATTATGGACTACCTACTACAACTACCTACTATTCGACCTTTGAGCAATTAAAGTGTTCAATAACGAATATACTTAATTATCTTATTGCTACTTATTAGGCACATACATAGGGAGAGAGAGAGTGAGAAAAAAGGAAGAGAGGTAGAGATTGAATGAGATAGTAAGAGAGGTAGATAGAGATAGAGAGAGAAGAAGATAGAGAGAAAGGGAGAGTGATAAAGAGAGAGAGAGAGAGAGAGAAAGAGAGAGAGAGGGAGAGATGAAGGGAGAGAGAGAAAGTGAAAAAGACAAAATAAAATGGAGAGAGAAAAAGAGAGAGAGAAGAAAAGAAAAGAGAGAGTAGAATCGAGAGAGAAGAAAATAGGGGGAAAAAGAGAAAAAGAAGAAAAGAGAAAGAAGAGAGAGAGGAGAGAGAGAAAGAAGAATAGAGAGAGAGAAGAGGAGAGAGAGAGAGAAGAGATAGAGAGAAGAAGAGAGAGAAGAAGAGAGAGAAGAAGAGAGAAAAGAAAATACAGGGAAGAAGAGAAAAAAAAAGAGAGAAAAGAAGGGAGAGGAGAGAGAGAAGAATGGAGAGAAAAGAAGAGAGAAAGAGCAGAAGAGAGAGAGTGAAGAAAAAAGAGAGGAGAAGAGAAAAGAGAAGACAGGAGAAAGAATAAGAGACATAAGAAGAAAGATAGAGACGCGTGTCTTTAGTATTGCAGTGATGGTGCACTGATATTAAATTGTCACTTTTTTTCTTACTATAATAAGGGATAGATTTTGATGGTTAATTTAAAATTGCCTTCAAGTTTAGTAAAACAATATATAATTTATAAATATATTCAGTATATATTTTCCCAATAGATCTAATAAGAGTATAACAAGTGTTGATAACATTAAGAATATATTAGATATTAAATGAAGGTACAGCTGTAGTATAAAGAAAATTTATTATATAATGGGATATGTTGAAAGATATTTAAGAAAAAGTCAGCATGGATAAGATTAACTAATTTGCACTGCTGTGAGCAGAAAGCAGATTTAACTTTTAATATATAATTACGTGGTTCAGATTAACTCTTCTAATTGTGACACATATTCGATAAAAGCAGCTAGATATAACACCGTTTTTTGACTTCAGTTTGAAGGATATGAATATTTCGAAAAGTTTACTGTGGTGGCATCCGACATGACCTCTATTGATCGATTGCTACTGAAAGCTTGCTGTGAAAATAGCGTTCAAGTAAAGCGCATTTAGACCTTTGAGCTCTGATATGCTGGAAACAGGCGAATGTCACGGAAAGGTATCGCCTTTAAGTGCGATACTTCGGTGCAGTGATATGATTTTCAGCAGACCAAAAGCCTATGGTTGTTTTGGAGCTGATACGAAATAAGTTCTTAATTGTAGTTGAACCACTAGTATTATACTATTAGAATGTAAACTGTAGTATTATTACAACTTTGTCATGTAATAACATACCGCTAAAGTATTTCTGCTTCATATTCCAAAGTATCACTTCCGACTTTTTCGTAAGACAACAAACAATCGCTTATAAATATAACAATTCAAAATATGACACATACATTTTTCGCGAAGACATCAATTAAATTGAGTATTTAAGTTCATCTTGATAATTAATCTTTATTTTATTAATCCACATCATCTGTTTTTGATTAAAATATTAAACAACACCATTCCACCAGTAGCAATAAAATAATTTTATGAGTACCACAAAACTAATGCATTAAACTAACCCCGAAGAGGGTAAGCAAGCCAATGCGCAGAGATTCATCCTCAACCATTTGGCATTTATGATATTGGCAAAAATAATAAGGGACTAATACGGCCACCACAATCAAAGCCAGCTACTCGGATGCAAGAGAAATATGAGCTGAAATGCTCTTAATGACAAAATAATGACTTTAACCCATTTCTGTAAAGTGTTGCGGGTCGCATTAAAAACATTTTTTAATGGATGAAAGCATATTGGACTCATGCCAATTCGAAACAGCAGAAGTGCAGTTTAAATATCAAAATGATGTACCAGAAAAAATGAGACAAAAACTGCTACTTATATGTAAAGGCGTTGGTTGAGATATTATAATTTTATGAAAGGCGCTTCAAAAGAATTCAATGTTCTTAAGTTTCATACTTGGCACATGAGTCAAATTGCTTTTTATGTGCTTAAAATCTTAGTGTTACATACTTTATATGAAAATAATAATAAAGAAGAGTACTACTTACCTCTCCACCTTTTTCTTTGGCAACTTTACTCAAGCGATGGCAACGGTCTACACCCACGGTACATATAGCGGGGTTGCAGTGGGTTAAGTATCGTCCACTACCGCAACCAACATCACAGACAACAGAACCAGGTTCTAGATTACTTAAAAATTGCGCTACACGTGGACGTATTGGTCCAGTTGGTTCTTCGCAGTTCTCGTAGACATCGTGCACATATGCGCGTTCCAATGCGGCAGAACGGCCACTCGCGTCATTTGATGCTGCAGATGATGATACAGGAGCAGTAGGTTTTGCTTGTGCTACAGTAACTGGCGTTACTAATCCAGTGGCGGGTAGGGTGGAAGTGGGAGCAATTCCAATTGTTGTGTTGCTACTACATTTTCGTAATGTACCGGTTATAGGCGAATTAGAATTTGTCGTTGTTAATGGCGTTGTGGGTGAAATGGCGGTGGGCGCCAGATTAGAATTTGCAATCGTTGTGACTGAAGTCGTTGTGGTTAATTGTTTTGTCATCGATGCAGTTTGTTCGAAATTACCGTCAAACGCAATAAAAAAATTTTCATCTGTAATCAAAAAAGAAAAAATTATGGTTTTAGAATATTTGTAGCAGTAATAGTTGTAGAAGATTTAGTAAATTGATTAATGTATGAATGGATGATAAATATTTTTTATTTAGATTTATATATACATTTTATTTATTGTTGATTATAGAAAAGCAATTTAAGAACGAGTAAATGATAAAACGTGTCTCTTTAATCTAATATTGAATAACATTACCAGGAACAAGAAACATTAAATTTCTGTTGAATACTTTGGCAGTGTATTTTGAGGTCCTACAAATATGCAAATAAACTTTTCAGTACTTTAGGCGTGCAACAAATAATGTGTCATTTGAATGGTAGAGAAAAAGCAATAATTATTTTCGTTGTTATTTTTAACAGTGTACTATTATTTCAGTGCAGTTAGCCAGCACTTCTATATATATTCTTTTTAACTATTTTCTAGTTATTTCTTGTTGTTTGTCCTAGTGCAGTTATATTTTTACAAAAGTTGTCTATTTGAAAACGTTAGTAGTCAGTAAAGGGTGGTAAAGGGATAGATATTCGTTTGACGATACAACATATCGGCTGTTAAGTCAATAGAATGACACACTGTTAGCGCATGAATATTTGACTACAAAAAAGCTATTTTCGAAGTATGTGCAACATTTGCTGATATTTGACTAAAAACGACAAATTGTCTATGAGTGTGAGCTGTTTTGGAGAAAGTAAAGCAAAATAATAACGACTTTTTGCAACAGTATGTAATAATAGGCAAAACTTTTGATCAATCAACATTTAATCTTAGAATCAAATCGATAGCAGCCGGTGAGCTTTATCCGAAGTGGTCAAAAACGTGAGAGACAGCTAAAAAGATTATGGCTTGAGCGTAGAATTTTGTTCCTCGATTACCTTGAAAAAGACCACTGACTAGACAATTAATTGCGATCGCTACATGGCGCAACTGATGCGTTGTGAGGGGGGACATCGCAAAACAACGGCTAAAGAAAAAAGTTCTCTTTCTGTAAAACAATAACTCAATAATTGTTTCCTTAACTGCTGAATTTCCCAGATTTCGTAGTTCTCAAAAAATGCTACAGTGAAAGGAAATTGGTTTGAATAAAAAAGTCTTACCGAAACTGAAGCATATTTGAAAGCACAAGATGAATTGTTCTACAATAAAGGTATCGAAATTATTATTAATAATATTGCATTACTATTAAATGATATTATGTTAATGAATAAAGTCTACTTTTACGAAAAGTTGCTGTTTTATTCATTATCGTTCACACTTAGTAGTCGATGTGTTAATCTAAATATAATAAAAGCTGTATAATTTTGATATAGTTTTTTGTTTATATTTTAGTTTTATAAGATTTTATAATAAAACATTAAAAATATTTGAAAGTTCAACTAAAAACTATTGGCAAAAAATTATAGGAGAATGAGTTTCAGTTTTTAAGCAACGGAATTAATAAAGCTCCTAAAAACAACAATTCTTGAAAATAATTATTATGTCCTCTACATAGTTGAAAAATTTAAAAAATAGGATAAAAGACTTATTATTTAAAAGAATTCTATTTAAAAATTAAATTTATTTTCTAAGTAAGGTTATTTATTTTTCTTTATTAATTTAGAAATTAAACCTATATTATTTAAATGTGAAATATTAGCAAAAATATCGATTTGAAAAAAAGAAATTGCTCACGATACTCCAACTATAATTATAATTAATTTAGTAATTTGCAGAAAAGCTTCTAAAAAAAATTGTCCAGCATATCTAGCCCCGCTGGCATAATATAAGCTACGGCACTGACTCCGATAATAAGCTTATCACCACTTTTTTGCTAAATGCTGACTTTTTCATTTCTTTTCCAAGTTTTTTGGTGCTGTTACCTTACATTTTGACTCTTACTTATATTAGTATATTATTATTAGTTGAGTGGACCACCAATGACTGCTTGGGTGAGTGGAATAAATGGGTTCGCTTCAAAATTAAATTAAATTATTAATTATTATTAATTAATGAGTGCAGTTAGCATGAGCTTTGGTTGTTTTTTTTATAAAATTCGTTTTTTTTGAAATATAAATATATATACAGATAAGGACATTTATTTTGTAATAAAGACATTTTTTAACTGACTTATTATTATTATTATTATGGAAAAGAAGGGATCGTGCATTGCAACCTAAAAGATCTATTGTGGCCCTAAGTCCCATTAGAGTGATTCTCCAAGTCCGATTTCTTTAATGAAAGACAGGAAAGAACCTATATTTCCTAGTTTTGGATTCTTATGATCCGTGAAATATACCCTCCTAGGTGTTTCTTTCGTTTCTGCATCAGTGTCGGGCACTCCACAAGCATATGGTATGCAGTTTCTCTCTCTTCTCTAAAGTATCTGCAGTCTAAGTTGGATTGAATTCCTGACTTCGTTAGGTGAATATTCCATCTACAGTGACCGGTCAATAATCCTGCAATAATTCTTTAGATATGTTTTGATTGTGCTATGCAATGTTTGAAGCGTTTTAGATTGTAAGTCCCTAAAAGCATTTTAGATTGTGATAGACTGACTTAATTATTTCGATGACACATGTGGAAGGCTTTTCAAAGAAAATTTGGTTTATGTATGTATGTATTCAGTATTAAATTTATTTTAACTATCCACAATTATTTCTTTTATTTTTTGCAATATAGACAAGTTTTGTAATATTTAAAAGTGAAATAGCAGTAAAATTATCGAACAAACTATATAATGTCAAAATAATTATAACTGATGAAGTGCACACATGCAAAATAATTAAAAAAATATATAATGTAATAACAAAAATAGCAACTACAGAAATGAAATGGACCGAATCAATGGTTAAATGTCGAAATACCCACAGGAAGACAACAACAATAGCATCAGAAACATACTAACTGACTGCGTCAGTGCTAAATATAAGTACAGGCAACTTTTCTATGCAGCAACTACGCAGAGCAGTACAACTTCTAACAAGAATTATTTATATGTATATGCACTCAAACTTGTACTTTGAGAAGAAAAAATAAAAAAAATAACAGTAGCAGTTAGGTAGCAGATACGTCAGCATTAGATTCTGCAGCAGCATTTACAGTGGTAAAAAACAAACAAAGCAATATTTAGCCTAACCCCTAAAGCAATGCTACATAAACAATTTAACAAAGAAAAAAAAACAGAGATATAACTGTGAATTTGTTTTTGCTTTACTATTTTATATAAGTTAAGAATATTTTACCTCTTGAAAATATGTAATAAGAAAATGAAAGACAAAGATAAAGGCAAAGACAAAAACAAAAATATGTAAAAACCCAGTTGAACTCATTGTCAGTTTATTTTTGTTACTTTTATACAATACTATAAGTATACTCGCATGTTATGTATGTACCTATACGGCTCAGTTTATTGTTATTATTGTAGTGCTTAAGTTTGTTGTTACTATTGTGCTTCCTCTTCTCTTTATATTTTTATACTTGCTTTTGTTTTTGCTTTTGTTTTTGTTATTGTTTATACACATCACTTAAGGGCTTTAATGCTTTCGTTTTTTTAACAGGTGGATTTTTAATTTTATTCCCGTGTATTCACTGATTTATTTATAATTGCTTATGTAATACTTGTAGAAATAGAGCA